AATAGATGGTGGTATAATATTCAATAGATGGTGGTATGAATATTCGAATAGTAAATAATAAGCTGTTCAATATTCGATTTTATAAATAGGTTTGCGCCCTAAAATGATGTTCGACGAAGAATTGTATTAGTATGGATTACTTCAGTAAAAAGTAGTAATTGCTAAATATGCATCAAGGGCCCCGACGGTGCTCTTGAACCAGGGACTCTCAGAACCTACAACAGTTTATTCCACTGCAAATATGGTTTATCTTCAGAATATTTCAACAAGATTTTACAAATGGGTGACTTGTAGTTGAAGTATATCCTGTGTCTATCTAAGCCCAATATTCGTTCGATTCTAGTAAGGGACACCTTACTAGAACACTTTTCCGGGACAAAAATGAGGAAAAGGATAACTTAAAACATCATGGCCAACCCCTATTCAGGGGACACTAGTTGGTCTATTTAACAGGGGTTCTAATGAATAATAAAGAACCGACGAATGGAAATGAATAGTGAACTCAAATGCAATGGTAACAAGATGTTCGTTTCTGGCCGTCAAGTTTTGTCACTATTTTCATGCTTAGATTAGTCTATCTCCCCATAATATTCTGTTTTGTAATTTAGGGAAAAAAGATAAAAACCACGTATTTATGTGTTGCCGAATGCACTTCACATTCATGAAATAGCGATTTGATTGGCCATCACATTCATAAAAGAGCAAGTTGAGGGCACCGTAACCTTCAGCTCTATTGTCGGCGCACAGCGGGCTAGACTGAAGTCGAAGTGTGCCAAAATTAATTTCTTATTACAGAAGAGGTTTTCATACCCGTAGAATTCAATAAAAGCATTTTCAAATCTATATAAGACCTCATTTTTGTACTGTTTTCTGATTGGACGATGTCAGTTTTCATTGTAATACCAAAAGAAGAGGAAGTTTTGCTGTCCTCTTTGACAGCTATACTGTACCACCAGGATAGCAATGATTTTTTGCTACTCTTATTTTGGTGTAAGGAGGAGTCTCATTTTACTATGGAGTTACAAAGATGGATAATGTTTCATCTGTCGTGAACGATTCCGGTTTGCGCCTCAGTGGTGACACCAGCAGGGGGAGGGGAAGGGGAGGGGCAGGGTCCCCGTCGAAGAGAGGTCCCGTCGAGGACAGCCCCCCCCCACCCCCGGCGTTGGGGAGATAAGCTACAATTCGTCAGGGAGAAATAAAATATGTAGGTCTACATATTAGTAGACTCTAAAATCCATTCTTCTTCAACGCCTCTTGCAATGCTGTATAAAGAAGTTCAGGGCGTACATTTTATGCCAACATCTCTTGTACTTTACCTTTGTGCGAACTCTCTGGAATGATCCTCCTATACATCGAAAGACGTCCCTGTTTGGGTTTTTTTTTAAGTCTCTTGTGGGTTTTCTGCTGGTGTGGAAAGAATATCTCTGTTCTGTGTCAAAACATTAATAACTTCATCAGAAAATGGAATCCTGTTTTTTTAAGTTTTATTTTTTTTTTAGAAACCTGGCAAACACGTGTTTACGTTCCTTTAACGTCCTTGGCCAATGTTGTGGTTAGGTATGTCACAAAATAACGTTTACACAAAGTTGTAGGAACGTGCAAATGTTGTGAAATTATGTTCAGTACGTATTTATGGTTCTACAAAATAAAGTTTTCATTTGAATAAAGTTTAAAACAACTGACGCCTAGATATAGGCCTGCTTGTAGATATCATCTTCATTATGATATATCGATTATTAGACTGCTCAAAATGTAATAAAGTATTCTAAATAGCAACAAAATAATAGAAGATTTGCTACTGGTAAATCACGAGCAGTTTGCCAATTTTTGGAGTACTTTTCCCACGCTTTGCTTGAACTAGTTGAGTAGACGCGCGTACATCCCTCTGATTTGCGGTTTGCTCTAATCCACATGAATCTAAACTTTCCTACTTTTTCTAAAAATAGATTTTTAAATATTTTTCTGTCGTTTAAACAACGACTATCATTGATGCAAACTTAAATTTAAACCAAAACATATATTTGTGCTCCACAATTTATATACCGGTACAAGAAACCTGAATATTTTGAATTCCGAATTTTCTGTAAGAAAAATAAATGTGTTTTGATGTAATGTAGTCAATTATAGCATTTAAAATATTAGTAGAGAAATTTCCGACATTAGTTGAAAAATACACCCTTAAAATTCGTTTAAATGTAAAATATTTTCAGGATAGATTCACCAGGGTATACCCATCTTCAATCATGTGAAAAAAAGTGTAAATGCCATAGTCACCAAAATGGACTTTTGGCACACTTTGATTTCGCCCTGGCCCACTGTGCGGCGGTGGTTCGAACGGCTCACTCGCCAATGGTTCCGGTGTTGGAACTAGTCTTCTCGGATAAAGACTTTAAACCGTAGGCCCAAAGTACGCATTTGGCTCGTGTGCACTTTAAAGAACCCAGTACATACTTCGAGAAGAGTAGGGGGCTACCCCGGTGTACTGGTCCATTAAGTCCCCTGTTGTTTAAATGGATATGCACATAAGACAGTGATTAAGTTCACTTAGTGGCATATCCTTGGCTCTCGTGCCTAAAGAAATGAAGTTAAATATATTTTTTTAATACATTCAAAAATAAACGTGTTTAATCATATTGCATGTGAAAGTAGGACAATTTCTACTTTTTTTAAATGTGGTTTGATGATGGCGCCACAAGCAGCTCTCCGAGATGGATACATGTGCCCTATAAGATGTAATATAAGATACTATTATTATTATTATTATTATATATTATTATTATTATTATTATTATTATTATTATTGTTATTATTCAGCGTCATTATTATTATTATTATTATTATTATTATTATTAGATACTTAGTGTTCATATAACAGAACAAACCTTGAATTTATAAGCATTAACCCATTAATATTAATAATAATAATAATAATAATAATAATAATAATAATAATAATAATATCACTGAATAATAATAATATTTGTATATTTATATAGGTGTTATACAAAGGCCTTCGATAGGTAAAGAAAAACTTGGCGTCAATTAGATAATGGGCTACCTGTAAAGTACAACAGGTTATTTTGCAATTATACTTTAAAAGTATTTCAACCCGATCAAATAATAATAATAATCTCAAAAGGCTATGCAATTAGAACGGAAACTTCTATCAGTAGTGCAAGAAAAACACATTTTAGGGTTGAACAAATTGCAACAGAATTTCTGTTTGCACAGTGCATTTTCTTAAGGTCTCTGTGTGAACATACTAAATCTAGAAAAATCCACACGGTTTTTTTTTTTTCAAAATGGCCGCCAAAAATGGCTAGTTTTAACAAAAAAATGAAAAAAAACTTGGGTATTTTCAACATATTTCAGCATACTTTTTTTTTCTAAAAAATATTTACAATTTCTAAAATTGTTCTGATGCATACAGGTACACTTATTTGATGTGGGTATCATTAATTTCAAGACGGCTGCCACAAGTACGACGACATATTCAGTGGTATATGCATAATACGCCAGGCAGCCATATGGACGTTTTGGACAAAAGCATCAACTTTTTACATGCTCCTTATGTCATAGCATTCAATTTTTGATAGAAACCCTTTTATCGGAGGTCATTATGGCAGCCATCTTAGATTTAAAAATGGCCACCTTATAAAACCTATGTATCTTCATGGTATTATCTCCTCTTCTAACTTGGAATTATAATTCTTGTCTCTAAATGGTTAAGGAATACTAATAATAAATAATAATAAGGTAAGAATTTATATAGCGCCATTTAAAAAACCGAAGTGATTATCAGTGGCGCTTCATGTTATTGTTGGAATAAGTGCGTTTTGAGTGATTTTTAAAATAAAGCAATGCCATTTTTGACCTGGTAAGATTGTTCATAAGGTAATTATAATTTAAGGTCATTAAATGAATAATCTGAGCAGATTTGTCATTTAAGGTCATTTATTTAGGTCATTCAAGGTCATTCCAGGTCAAATATCGTATGGTATCTTATTAATTACCTGTCATGTTTTACATCTGAATCATACTAAAGCTCTCGAAATTCATTTTTTTACAAGAAACTACATTACTTCATTCAAGGTCATTTTGGCAGCCATCTTCAATTTCAAAATGGCTGCCATGCAAAAACTATTTTAATAATATCTTAGCTTTTAGAATCACTTTAAATTAGAATTCTGATGTTTAGAATTATGTTTTTATGGTCAAGAAAATATACCATTTGTGATTCCCTGATAATATATAGGTCAGTTAAGGTCATACCGGGTAGACTCAGTCCTTGAACCCACATTATTTTGAATTTATATCAAAATGATCTGCCAAATTCTCCAAATTTCGATTTTCGTTTGTTTTCCAATGACATAAATTAATTTCACAGTTTCTCAAATAATGTCCTTACATTCTTGATTTGATCAGTTTTGCATTGTTATCAATCGGTGTAAAGCAAATAAATTATTATTAATTTTTAAACAAATAAATACATTATTTCATTTAATATTCTAAACATTGAATTACTATACTTACGGCAATTCACAATTATATTATTACAAGCGTGAGAATGTTCTTATGTTTATGTTGATTTATTAATATACTTTACAATCTTAATGACATTTTTAAACACATACTTTTTGACATTTTTAAATTGAATCACTTTCCATGTTGGTATTTATTGTAATTTCAAGTATTGTATCTCACTTGTCCTTGTTTAAAAAATTCTAACTTTTATTAATATTTAATTGTTGTTTTAATCAGGACGATGGTAGATCAATTTTAGTGCTTTGTCAATTTTATTTTTTGTACATTTACATTCATTGAACATTTATCCTGAGTAAATATGTTTAATAATAATAATAATAATAATAATAATTATAATAATTGATAAAACAAATTTTATCATTTTCAATCAAGAAATACAGTAAACAACTCACAACCACTGGATCTGTATTTATCGATAACTTGACTTCCTATATTTATGAGGTTTTTTTTTATATTTATGAGTGTTCCTATATTTATGAGTGTTCCTATATGTATGAGTGTTCCTATATTTATGAGTGTTCCTATATTCATGAGTGTTCCTATATTTCGTTGTATTTTCGTTCTCACATGGAAAGCCCACATTTCAAAATATTAATGAAAAAATCAGGAAAAAGCTGGAATTATGTTTATATGAAAACTTCAGTGATGCTTTATAGTTCTTTTATTTATCCAAATATTATTTATGGAATTGAGGTCAAAGGGGAAGTAATCACATACATACACATTACATACATAATTTTGTGTCATATCGAACTCCTATCTTGAATTTCCAAAGAATTATAGCTAGGTGTATAACTTTTCTGTTTTTTAGAGCACATTTACCCCCTCTATTTCACAAACTTAAAATTCCTTTATGTTCTTAAATTTATTTCCGATATTTTTTTACAACCGAACAACTCACACTCTAAGTGTAAAAATTTACATAATACAAAGTCTAAAAATAATGTTTAATTTAGCTATACCAAAGCTACGTACCACGTTAGGGAATATAAGAACAGGTTGTGAAGGGGCTACCATGGAATTAGCTTCTCTCGATATTCGCAAAATTAGTTAAAGAAAACAATACAATGCTAAAAAAAACATTTACTTAAAGAGTATATTGCTGAAAGATTTTTTATCTTATTCAACTTTCAAACTTTCTAATTTTTATTACTTTTTAAATTTCTTTTTATTTACTCTTCCATTTATTTATTTATTCATTTGATTTTGTCTTTTGTCCAGGTATGCCTGCTACAAGCTGTTGCTTTTTTGGCTATGCCTTCTTCAAATCAATTACCTTACTTTACATTGTACCGTTTCTTCAAATCAATTACCTTACTTTACATTGTACCGTTTTGTTTTTGTTTTTTTCTCATTTCGAAGAAAATAAATGTTACTTTGATTGGTGATTGATTTATTGATTGAATAAACTTAAATTTAAGACTAAGACTAACCATTTTAACTATTATTAGGCCTGTTATTATTTTTATTATCATTATTAATATTATTATTATTATTATTGTTGTTATTGGCTTTCAAGAATTTTAAAAGATGGGAGAGTGACAAGACAGACGATCTGTACCCACATTGTATAAACTTATGTCATTAATACAAGAGTGCTATTATTATTATTATTATTATTATTATTATTATTATTATTATTATTATTATATTATTTCCTATGAATGTTACGTTTCACATATTTTGTACTATTGTTATGGAGGTTAATTTACGTAATAAGAGAAATCATCTTTTTAACCTCCTGTGTATTTGCTTGATTTATTTTTTGTATTGTATAAATTTGAATGAATGATTGAGTACAGATTTTTAATATTACATAAAGGGGCGTAATCAATGCTTTTAAAACTTTTTTCCCCATTTTTGAAATATTCCAAAATATGTTTTATTTCAGCTCCCGTGAGTTTTTCGTCAAATATGTGTGTGTGTGTGTGTGTGTTTAAAGAGTCATCCAACGCTTTCTCTGACGTATCAGTTATCTTATTTCAAAGAGTCATCCAACGCTTTCTCTGACGTATCAGTTATCTTATTTTAAAGGGTCATTCAACGCTCTCTCTGACGTATCAGTTATCTTATTTTAAAGGGTCATCCAACGCTCTCTCTGACGTATCAGTTATCTTATTTTAAAGGGTCATTCAACGCTCTCTCTGACGTACCAGTTATCTTATTTTAAAGGGTCATCCGTATCTGCTTAAGCTGCGGTCCAACCATCTCTTTCCCTTGACGCTGTCAGTGACTCTAAGCAATGCCCATACCCAACTTGGCCCATTTTTGGCAATCCTGGCTATGGCCTGGAATGGTCTAATCCTCATCAACGTCAACGCTCTCTCTGACTGCTTATACACATCTAGATGTGTATAAGAGACAGCATTTACATTCATTGAATCTAATAGCTAAAGCGTTCAGCTACCCCTCTGAACCCCATCTTATCGGACGGAGACACCTCCTCCCAAACCTAGCCTCCGCAAGCACTTGGAGGCACTTTACACATATACCTATAGCCCCCCCTAACCAAAACTTCTGGATCCGCCCCTGATTTTATTCTAATTTAATTCACTGAACAAGGGACGAGGATGTGACCATTTCGTGTCGTAGCCAGGATAGCCAAAAACGAAAAAAATGGGGTATGGGTATCGCCTAGAAACACTGACAGTGTCAAGGGGAAGAGCCAGTTGAATCACAGCTTTGGTATTGTAGGGTGTTGTCGGATTCTGATAAGATTACTGGTTATTTTTTTTTCAACTCAGTATATTTTTAACTGCCTTAAAAATACCGACCAATTTTTTTTTTTATTAGGGAGCTGCATATGCAACCATCCCAGCCCAGGTATACGGGCCATGCCTACTATTGTGTAGCCTTTTTAAATGCTTCTTTTTCATTATTCATTGTGGAATTTGAAACTGTACAGTGAATTGTATTCAGTTGAGCTTTAGTTTTTGAATAAAAATTGTTATGTATTGAAAAAATACTGCATCCTACTGGAATGATTTGGAATTCCGTATTGTTTTAAATATAAAATATGTAGCATTGTCCACAATCTTTATCCGACTAAATTTACATTCGATCTAGGTATACTAAACAACGCCCTCAAACATTTCAATTAATCTTCTTAATTCTTAAAAGATATCACATTGAGAGTCATAATCCCAGTGGTGGGGTCATGCTCTCACTGAAGGGAGTGTGGGAAACTAGCCCCAGGCTTAATCACTGTATAATTGTCTTTCAAAATTCCGGTACCAATGTCTACCTACAAATGTTCTTTCATTACTTTTTGTTTAGGATAGTACTCCCAGAGTTCTTTAGTAACAGCCTATCTCTCCAAGGTGGTTTACTTTCTTGCTACTTGACCAGCATTTCCAGACTTGCGTCCACAGTTGCTGGAAAGTCCATCTCAATTCTGTCCATTTTAGACCAATGATGCCGCCAAATGAATTCCAGTCCTTGCCAATCTCTTCCGCAATCAATTGCAATATCCTAGACGAAAAATAAAGACATCAATATTAAAACTCGACCAGGACAGAAGTAACTGGCAGAAATTAGTAGAATGCGAAACATCTACACGGTAAAAAGATGATAATGACAGAAGCATTTGAAGCAATGTTGAGGATGTTGTATCATTCTTTGTTTTGATATGAAACGTTTTGAAAATTTCACACTTTCAACAGAGGGAGATATTTGTTTTCATCATACCACTTCGAAACAACTGTCTTCAGAGCATTGGACTGCTGATCCAACATTTCTATAAAATAATAAAGTAATATCTAATATTGTACACTAATCCATGTATTTCAAAATGTAGATTTTTGCATGAATGTTACAAGTCAATATTACTAAATTATATTCTGGAATGCCAGAAATTAACTCATTCAATATTTTCGTGAAGCAGCTATCCCTAATAAACACAACTCAAACATTTAATAGTCAACAGCTAATGTTGACTAAATATCCTAATAATAAAATAAAATCATAAGTTCAGATTCCATCATCTAGAGAAAATCATATCGTATTTTAATCAGAGTGATTTTAAATAATTAGATTAGAGTGATATAATGGTGGGTTTTCTGAGTTTGTCACTGACCTGAAACTACTTTCTTATTCTTGAACATTCTCTGAATTTTGCTTGTACTTGTCAATTTCCTCTTGCATCTGATTTATCATTGTCTAATGTCTAAGCACTGTCTCTTATACACATCTAGATGTGTATAAGAGACAGGCCTATCTCTCCAAGGTGGTTTACTTT